TACAGGCACAGACACTCCTACACACAGATAAAAACTGCACGGATGACACTTCTTAGGGTATAGACTCAGACACACACATGCACACATGTGTACACACACACAGGTGGCCACAGGCACTGCCACACACACGGGTAGACTTGGATTTGCCCACCCTCCAGGCACACACCCCGGCTCAGACAAAGCAGCAGTTTGGGGCGACTGGCCCTCTGCCGGCCCCAAGCCTTGTTTGTGTCTAGCATTACCTTAGGGCCAGTGTGCAGGTCTTCCAGGTCTCCAGGAAGGTCATTTCTTCCTATTGGGTGGTCCCTAATCTTGATGCTCCTCTGGACACCATCACGCACCAAATCCATCACCACTACCACCACCTACCCATCCAGCTCAGCTCTACCCGGGAAATGCCTCACCCAGGGCTGAGGAGAGGGGGATCTGGCCATTCCTCCTCCTCTTTGCCTGCGGGTTTCCAAGCCTTCTCTTCCCACCCCAACTCCCACCAGGTCCCCATGGAGGCAAAGAACAGCATGGCCTCCTATTAGAGATAGGAAGAAGGCCAAGGATAGCCCATCAGGCGAGACTGGTTCCGGCAGCAGCCTTCGCCACGGACAGAGCCCAAACCTATCGCTGCTGAGGCTCAACCCACTGAGACTTCTTTATACAGTGGAGGCCTCAGGCTGGCGGGGCCTCGGGCAAGATGGGCTGGGGGAAGAAAGACTTCCTTAGGTGCCTGTCCGGGGACCAACTCCCAGCCCCCAGTGAAAGGGGTCTCTCAGCTCTGCCTTGCTCTGGCCCCACCCCAGCCATCAGAGATCCCCAAACACCCAGACACAAACCACTGGAAGCAAATTTGGGGTGTGGCCCCCAAATTTCACAGGCTCACTTCCCCTTCCCCTGGGGCTCTGGGGTAACAAGGGAGGGAAATTGGGGAGCAGGCAGGCAGCGCCCAAGCCAGGCAGGCATTCCCCCTTGGCTTTCACCCCAGGGGCACTGCCGCTGCTCTTCCGGACAGATCCCCAATTCTCCCTCCTTCTCCCCCGCCCCCCACCCCTGCGCCCCAAGCCCAGGCTCTCCTCTGGCCAGGAGGGGCAGATTCTTAATTAAAGTTTTCTGGAATGCAGGGGACCGAGCTGGGAAGGCGGGGGTAATTGAGAGAACTGGTTTCGGTGAGTCTTTATCCTCTGGCCCCTAGGACCTGCTGGGGGGCGATGGGGCCGCTTGGGAAACAAGGGGGGTCCCCGGATCTGGGGTTCCCAGAGGGCTGTTTATTCCTCAATAACCCCCACACCCCTGGACGCGCACCCACACACACACACCTCCGGGCCCGCGCCTGGGTCTCCAGCCCTATTTACGGAGCGTCTTTGTATCCACATTTCTCCTCGGCGGAATGCGCCCTTCCTCCTCGCCCTTTCTCCTCGGTCCTCGATTTTCCAAAAGGAACGAATTCGACATGGAGAATTGGGGTTTTGATCAAAGAACAACAAGCCCATCCCCTCCCCAACAACTACCTTTTCAAGGACCCTCCCCATTCCCCACCCCACCGCCCTTTGCTAGAAAGGACAGAAGAGCAATAAATAAAATCGGAATTCAATGCCATCGCAGAGCCGCAAAAAACCAATAACCACATTCACTTTGCGGGCCCAAGAAATCTAGTGGCGCCCCCCCCATCCCGGGAGCCCCCCAGGGGCTCTGCTTCGGAACACGAAGGCAAGGGGCGGTGGTCTTGTGGGGCATCTGATGGGCATCTGCCGGCGGAGCTGGGGGCGGCGGGGAAGGCACTGGATGGTTTTGCCCATGAAGACCCCAAAATGGAGAAGAGGAGAGCCTGGGCCCGGGGGACAGCGCCGCGCTTTCAGAAACCCCTCTGCAAGCCAAAGGGGGTTTTGGGGCTCTCAGATTGGGGTGGGGGAGCGGCTTAGGGTCCATGAACAAGAACCCCGCCAGCTGGGGAAAGTCGTCCAGGCTGGGCCGCCCGTGGCAAGGGAAAATGGTGATGAGCCTGGGAACCAGGAGTTGGATTCGGAAGCGACACCAGAGAGAAATCCGGGAGGGGTGGGTGGGCGGGAGACGAGGAGAAAAGGCGCCCCGGCCCTGCTGCAGCCCACCCCCGCAGGCGCCCCCCCGCCCCCGGGCCGGGCGGCCAGACGCGAGGCGAGCCTTACCACCAAATTGGGTAGCCGGCGAGGACCCTGGTGCCGCCGAGCAGGAGGCCGAAGAGCAGCCCGAGCAGGTGGGTCTCCATTAGGACCGACGCCGAGGGGGAAGTTTGCCCGCGACCATGAAGAGGGGGAGCGACGCCCCCAACAGTTGGAACAAAGTCCACTTGAGATTGGAAATGACTTTCGGGCTTGGCAGAAGCGCACCTCCACCCGCAGCCGCCCCCCTCGCGAGCCCAGCGTGGAGCAGCCGGGTTTGAGGATGTCAGCGAGCAGCCAA